TCCTTCTACCCCAATTCTTCACACTCCTCCTCCAAATTTGGGAGGAGGCCTCAGATATGCTAGGAGATACAGATTAGTGTATAGAAGGCTAGAACTCAAAAAAAATAAAAAAGATAACAACAGTCATGCTCAAACAGGGGTGGTGAGGGAATTTTGACCATGGTAGAGTTTAAACCACCCAGCATTCTGAAGAAATTATTCTTCTGGAGGAGGAGCAAGCAAGCAAGTATAATAGGAATATGTATATATATCACCAGCGGCGGTATAATATAACAGGCAGTTATATAACATTCGTTGTTTACAGATGAGTCCATATTAGGATGGTCTAGTATTATTATATGACGATGGTATAACATGTAAGATTTATATTTTAATTATATGACATGATTGTAATAATAATAACTAATTCCTTAAAATAGTTTAATTTAACATATTTACTAATGAGAGAACCGGAATTGTATATCGATTTATATAAAGTCAGCAGAATGCTTACCTAAAACAGAATTAGGTTTTTGAGCTCTTGGGAAAGAGAAATTTTTTTTTGAACAGATCGAACTTCCGTGCCCATGGAATCCAGTGGCACATCTTTGTCTCACTGCAAAACTTCCGCTTCCTAGTTCTATGATTCTCCTGGCCTCAGCCTTCCCAGTAGCTGGATACAGGCACCCCGCCATGCTCCGCTTATTTTGTGATTTTTAGTAGAACGGGGTTTCACCATGATTGACCAGGCTGGTTCGAATGACTCCTGACCTCAACTCGGCCTCCCAAAGTGCTGGGATTACAGGCATGAGCCACTGTGACTGGCCAGGAAAGAAGAATTTCTAAATAAATACGCTTCATTTTGGATAGCTCAAGTGCTATATTTCTAAAAATACTGCATGTTTAAAAAAAAAATAAGCCTTTTGCCCCATTTTCATTTTTGATGAACTGACAGTTTACAGAGCACTTTCCTACATGTTGTTGTCCCCAGGACGTCCGTTGGTAGGCCCAGCCCCTCTGAGTCCTGGGTTGATGGCACTCAGAGTGTCCTCTGGCAGAGTTGGAGGACACTGAACTTGCCTGGAGATGCCCTGTGGAGGGATGATGCCCACATCTGCCTCAGAGAGGTAGATGCATCCAGAAGCTCCCAAGACGTGTCCCATAGTAAATAGTCTGGGCCCAATTAAAAGAGGCAGGAAGCTGGGCACAGTGGCCTGTAATCCCAGCACCTTGGGAGGCCGAGGTGGGCAGATCACTTGAGGTCAGGAGTTCAAGACCAGCCTGGCCAACGTGGTGAAACCCCACCTCTACTAAAAATACAAGAAATTAGCCAAGCATGGTGGCAGGTACCTGTAATCCCAGCTACTCGGGAGGCTGAGGCAGGAGAATTGCTTGTACCCTGGAGGTGGAGGTTGCAATGAACCGAGATCACGCCACTGCACTCCAGCCTGGGTGACAGAGTGAGGGAGACTCCATCTCAAAAAAAAAAAAAAAAAAAAAAAAAAAAAAAAAAAAAGAGAGAAGCAGGAGTGGAGAATTTCTAACGCTTCTCTCCTGGAATACCGTTTGGGGTCCTTTTCCCTGGACACTGTTGCACCATCAAGTAGCAGAGGAGGAGATGGTGCACGGGTGGGAGCTGAGCAGCTCTGTACATCTCGGCTCAGAGTGACAGCAGTCTCACGTCTTCGGCGGCTGGTAAGGTGTAGGTGAAAGGGTACAAAGGTGCAATTATGTAGGATCAGTAAGTCTAGAGAAGGCATGTACAACATGAAGACTGTCATTAATAACACTGCATATGTACTGGGAATTTGCCAAGAGAGTAGATTTTAGGTGCTCTTACCACAAAAAAGAAAGGTCAAAGCCAGGCACAGTGGCTCATGTCTATAATCCCAGCACTTCGGGAAGCCAAGGAGGGCAGATCATCTGAGGTCAGGAGTTCGAGACCAGCGTGGCCAACATGGTGAAACCCCATCTCTACTGAAAATACCAAAAATTAGCTGGGTATAGTGGCAGGTGCCTCCAGCTACTCGGGAGGCTGAGGCATGAGAATCGTTTGAACCCAGGAGGCAGGGGCTGCAGTGAGCTGAGATCGTACCACTGTACTCCAGCATGAGTGACAAAGCAAGATTCTATCTCAAAAAAAACAAAAAAAGAAAAAAGAAGAAAAAAAAAAAAACTGACCGAGCATGGCAGCTCACACCTGTAATCCCAGCACTTTGGGAGTCCAAGTCAGGTGGATTATCTGAGGTCAGGAGTTCAAGACCAGCCTGGCCAACATGGTGAAACCCTGTCTCTACTAAAAATACAAAAAATTAGCTGAGCGTAGTGGCAGACACCTGTAATCCCAACTACTCTGGATGCTGAGCAGGATAATTGCTTGAACCCAGGAGGCGGAGGTTGCAGTGAACGGAGACTGCTCCCCTGCCCTGTAGCCTAGGCAACACGGTGAGACTCCATCTCAAAAAAAAAAAAGAAAAGAAAAGTTTATTACTAATATACTAATGTTCTAATGGACTACAACTGATCTTAGCTAGCATGCCTACCATTTAGCTGTTTGCTGTAGCAATTTGTTACATTCCTAGGAAACCGTAAGCTATGAGAGAAAAAAAAAAAGTCTCATTCTACAAACAACCATTTCAGGGGAGAAGCAGGGAAGTGTTAGGGGCTAGAGAGTTATTTGAAACACTTTTCCCTCCATAGGAATTAAAGTTTTTGTCATGGCCATCAAGTTTAAACCTTGCTGAATAAATCTATTATATTTACTTGCTCCACTTCCCACCTACCACCCCCAAAATACGGTGTTGTCTGCCAGCCAGTCCATATGATTGTGTAAATCCATCCCTCACCATGGGCTGCTTGGTTTCTGTGTCTCCTCATTCATATTCTTAAAAGAACATTTTAAGTGGCCGTTGGTCATCCAGTGGATTTCTGGTGACAGATGATCATGTCTTTCTACTCACCTGTGGCAGGGGGACAGCCCATGGGAATCATTTCCTTTGAGGTTTGGCAAGAGCCATGAACTGCTGTATTTCACAAAGACGAGGGCTGGGGTAGACTAGTTGCACAAAAGCATCACCAACATTCTTTTTTTTCCGAAATGGAGTCTCACTCTGTCACCCCGGCTAGAGTGCAGTGGTGTGGTGATCTCGGCTCACTGCAACCTCTACCTCCCAGGTTAAAGCGATTCTTCTGCCTCACCCTCTCAAGTAGCTGGGACTACAGGCACCCACCACCACGCCCAACTAATTTTTGTATTTTTAGTAGAGACGAGGTTTCACCATATTGGCCAGGCTGGTCTCGATCTCCTTACCTTGTTATCTGCCTGCCTCGGCCTCCCAAAGTGCTGGGATTACAGGCGCGAGCCACTGAGCCTGGCCTGTAACACTCATTCCTTACACTGGGTTCTTACCAGAATGTCAGAACAGTCACAATTTTATTTTTCTTTGTCTGATAAGAAACCTTAAACTGCATATTTGTGTGACATCTCTAAAATCTTCTCTCCTTAGAACGCCTGACAGACAATCTCAGAGTCGGACAGACATCCACAGTTGCTGCTCAGATGTTTCTTTTTTTCAGAGTTTTGCTGCTAAGAATATCTCCTCAGCATTTGACTTCATTGTGGCCAATAATGGTCTCTGAATTGGTGAGTACAAGTATTGTAAGTTTGAAAGCAAGGTTGGAGCTTTTTAAAATGCTTTTTCGGTAACATATAACATACTATTTCATATCTATCCCATTTTATCTAAAAGTTATTTTTAATCAGGTTAGTAGCACATGGTTAGCTCTTGGTTAAATAGAGAATATTTTACCCTATGATCATATTTGATCTCTCACCCTGTCAGTGATTCCAACTAACTTGTACCATTGGATAATATTTACTAGTTTTTTTATATACTATAAATTTGGGCCAGGCGTGGTAGCTTATGCCTATAATCCCAGCACTTTGGGACGCCAAGGTGGATGGATCACTTGAGCCCAGGAGTTCGAGACTAACCTGGGCAACATGATGAAACTCCTTGTCTACAAAAAAATACGAAAATTAGTTAGGCATGGTGGGAAGTTACATCTGCAGAAGATTGAGCCTGCAGTGAGCCATGATTGTACCATTGTGCTCCAGACTGGGTGACAGAGTAATACCCCATCTTATTCATTCATTCATAAATTAATCGATTTTTAAAAATAAGTAAAAAAAAAAAAATTTGGATAGGTTTAGTCTCTCTCAGATAGTAACTTGAATGCTTTTTTTGTTTTCAGATTCAGACATTCACACAGCTTGAAGAAGATCTAAAAGACGAAGATGAGTCATTGAGGTAAGCAGTACAAGATATGTGCACAGGAGGAAAAGATGGTCACGATTAAAGGACATCACTTTAGATGTATGGTTATCTAATGTTAAATGCTGTTTTCTTGAAGTACTTGTGAAAGGACCAGCTATTCCAAACATTTCTTAAAAGGAAAATTATTCTGAGGGACATGTCATAGGTGAATGGACTATAACAGCTCTGAATGAATTTATAACAAGCGTTTCTTTGCAAATTTACAGAAGCAACAACAAAGTAAACAGAACGAAAGGTTCAGTCCTGGATGCAAATGGACACTCAGTGGGGGAGATACCCCAGAGTGAACTCATCTTGTATTTATCAGCTTGCAAATTCTTGGACACAGCGCTTTCTTTTCCACCTGACAAGATGCCATTATTTCAAATGTAAGTCAGATAGGATCATGTGTCCTTTTTGAAGCAGGAGATTTTGTTTTTTCCTTTTAAGCACTTTCACTTGCTTTTCATGTACAGTTTATGGGAAACCACCATCTGGGTTTCTAGTGACAGCTGAGCCAGCTCGGAATACCGAGTTTCAGATTACTTGCAACATCTGTGGCTCTGCGAATTTGGCTCATAGGAGTGTTTATGAATGTGTTTCTATGGTGTGTGTGTGTGTGTGTGTGTGTGTGTGGTTTTTGCTACTGAATGCTTATAAAACAGGGCTTACCCACTGGTGGTCCTCACCGCCTTTGTGTAGACCTTTTTGTCTGTTTAGTTAGATAAGAATGCCTTTATTTGGAGCCTGCCATCTCCAATTCACTTTGCCCCTTAGGCTTATGTTTCCTGCAGGCTTAGCACAGCTGCTCATTTGTTTAATTTTCATGACCAGCCCCAGAGGCTATTTCTCTCTCTCCTACCCCCACAAAGAGAGTAAGCATATAGAAATGTTTGTGGTTAAAGAGTGGGTTCTCTTAAATGCACATTGCTAAGTGAAAGAAGCCAGACTGAAAAGGCTACACACTGTATGATTCCAACCATGTGACATTCTGGAAAAGGCAAAACTGTGGAGACAGTAAAAAGAATCAGTGGTCGCCAGGGGTTGGGGAGAGGGAGGCAGGGATGGATGGGTGAAGCACAGAGGATTTTTAGAGCAGTGAAATTATTGCATACGGAGCTATAATGGTAGATCCATGTCATTGTCCGTTTCTCCAAACCCATACAATGTACACCACCAAGAGTGAACCCTGATGTAAACTCTGGACTTAGGGGGATAATGGTGAATCAGTAGAGGTTCTTCAGTTTTAACAAATGTACCGCTGTGGTGCAGGATGTCAATAATACGTCAGGCTTGTATGTGTGTAGGGATGGGATATACAGGAACTGTACTTTCTGCTCCATTTGCCTGTGAACCTAAAGCTGTTCCACAAAAGGAAGTCTTCTAGTTTTTAAAAAGCAGGTTCAGGCCAGATGTGGTGTCTCACACCTGTAATACTAGCACTTTAGGAGGCTGAGGCAGGTGGATCACCTGAGAGGCTGGGAGTTTGAGACCAGCCTGACCAATATGGCAAAACCCTATCTCTACTAGAAACACAAAAATTAGGCCGGGTACAGTGGCTCATGCCTGTAATCCCAGTACTTTGGGAAGCCAAGGTGGGTGGATCACTTGAGGCCAGGAGTTCAAGACCATCCTGGCCAACCTGTGGTGAAACCCTGTCTCTACTAAAAATACAAAAATTAGGCCGGGCCACGGGTGGCTTTATGCCTGTAATCCCAGCACTTTGGGAGGCCAAGGCGGGTAGATCACCTGAGGTCGGGAGTTTGAGACCAGCGCCGACCAATATGGAGAAACCTCGTCTCTACTAAAAATACAAAATTAGCCAGGCGTGGGTCGTAGCCTGTAATCCCAGCTACTCGGAGGGCTGAGGCAGGAGAACTGCTTGTAACCGAAGGCAGAGGGTTGTGTGGTGAACCAAGATCGTACAACTGCACTCCAGTTTGGGAGGAAAGAGCGAAACTCTGTCTCAAAAAACAAACAAACAAAAAAAAGTGAGGCTGGCGCGCAGTGGCTCACGCCTGTAATCCCAGCACTTTAGGAGGTCTGAGGCAGAGAATTGCTGAACCTGGGAGGCAGGAGTTGCAGTAGGAGCCAAGATTGCACCACTGCCACTCCAGCTGGGCAACAGAGCGAAGACTCTGTCTCAAAAAAAAAAAAAAAAAAAAACTTGGGTTCTAGGTATATGCGAATGTGCATAGCAGCGTTATTTATTAATAGGCAAAAAGTGGGAGAAAACCAAACGGCCGTCAGCTGATGAACAGATAGATTAACGTGACAATACCCATCTCTGGGAATACGGTTCAGCAGTGAAAAGAATTGAAGAAATGAGAACGCGGAACCCTGGATGAACCTGGGAACATATGATTGCTAAGGTGAAACGCCGCAAACAAGGGACTATAGTGATGTGATTCTGCCTCAGTATGGAATGTCCACGATGAACCAGAGTGTGGATTACGCGTGTGCCTAGGTCTCAAGGCATAGGGGTTTGGTGGTGATGGCTGAGCGGGGCCCAGGATTCTCTTTTTGGGGTAATGAAAATACTCTCAAAATTGTAATGCTGTGATAATAGGATCATGCAACTATGAATATAATAAAAGGCATTTGAGGTTTCCATATTAAATAGATACATGTATGTGGAATGATATGCTATATAAATCTTTTATGACATTGAAGGCTCTTACCAGCAGTCCTGACCTTCCAGTTTGTTCCCCGCAGTTATAGGTGGGCATTTACTTCCAGAAGTGGGCACAGCAGGAGGACCCTTGCCTTCTGTGCGGGATATAGAGGAAATCGACCAAGGAATGCGAACCCACACTGGTCAAAATGTCTAGAACTTCTATAAATTAAAGTTTGGGGTAATGGCTTGTTTCTGTTCTCTTTTATTTTTATTTATTTATTATTGTTATTATTTTTTGGAGGCAGAGTTTCACTCGGGCCACCCAGGTTGGAGTTGCAATGGTGTGTCTTTGGTGTTTACTGCAACTCCACCTCACCGGGTTCAAGTGAATGTACTTCTGCTTGCAGCTTCCTGGAGTAGCTGGATTACCAGGATATTGTGCCACCCGCACACTGGCTAATTTGTTTTTGGGTTTGTTTTTGTTTTGAGATGGCAATCCTCACTGTTGCCCAGGGTGGAGGGCGAGTGGCCGCGAATCTTCAGGTCCACTGCACTCAGCTTCACTGGTTTTCAAGCGATTCTCGCTGTCAGGCCTCTGGACGATAGCTTGGGAACTACAGGCACATGCCAGCATGTCTGGCTAAGTTTTTGTTTTTTGGTTTTTGGGTTTTTTTTGTTTTTTTTTTTTTTGAGAATACAGTCTCACTCTGTTGCCCAGACTGGAGTGCAGTGGGGGATCTCAGTTCACTGCAACCTCCACCTCCCAGGTTCAAGCAATTCTCGCACCTCAGCTTCCTGAGTAGTTGGAACTACAGGCACGCGCCACCACACTTGGGGCTAATTTTTGTATTTTTATTAGAGACAGGTTTTTATCATATTGGTCAGGCTGGTCTCGAACTCCTGACCTCAGGTGATCCACCTGCCTCAGCCTCCTGAAGTGCTGGGATTACAGGTGACAGCCACTGTGCCCAGCCTGCTTTTCTTTTTAAAAATTATATTCACGAGGCTGGTAATCCCAGCACTTTGGGAGGCCAAGGCGGGCAGATCACCAGAGGTCAGGAGTTCGAGACCAACCTGGCGACCATGGTGAAACTCCATCTTTACAAAAATACAAAAATTAGCTGGGCATGGTGACGAGTACCTGTAATCCCAGCTACTCAGGAAGCTGAAGCAGGAGAATTGCTTGAACCCTGGAGGCAGAGGTTGCAATGAGCCGAGATCACGCTGCTGCACTCCAGCCTGGGCGACAGAGCAAGACTCTGTCTCAAAAACACCATAGGCAATGATATCGTTTTCTGAGGGCTTTGGAGCATGGCTGGCGCCGCACATGCATCGTGGCAAAACCTAAGAAATAAAGGTCCTTCTTTTTTTCTTTTT